CGACTATCGTTTAATTTTGATATTTAACGTGTGTTCTAACCATTATAAATCCCACTAATTATAGCTAAATTGTTATAATTTTTTCAGTTTTAATATTTTATTATTAAGGCGCCCCTACCCTTCAACGAGCGCTCTGGGCGTAGGACCAAGTGATCCACCCCTAACGCCGGCCCTGCTTACGAGCCCTGATTATAACTGTATAGTGTATAATATATAACGATTTTTGTATAGTGCATACTAAAATAATACAAACAAAAAAAAAAAATTCGAACTTTTCGAACATAAATATCGATGTTTAATCGATTAACCGAAAACAAATCATCGATTTTGAAACATCATTATATTGACCCAAAACATCGATGTTTTATGCCCATCCCTATTTACCATACGCTTATAAAATCAAGTTCTTACCAACATTTATAATTGTAAAAACTATAATTATAGATTATTGGTTTTTAACCTATTAATTTATACGTGTATTGTTACTTCTATCGCTATTATTATTACTTATTATTTACATTTTTTATTTTAATTATTTTTATTTCATTTTATTTTATATTTGTATGCCAATACATATCATATACTAAAAAAAAAAATATCCAAAAAATCCAGTTTTTGGATTTCCGGAGAATCAGGATTTCAAGACTTATATTACATCACTAATAGATATCAATATTATACTATTATATATTATTATATTATTATACTATTAGAAGAAACTTAGAATACTAAAGAATATGTTTAATCGGTAAACATGAAATGTCTACATATATACGAGGTCTGGCTATTAAATAATGAAACTGGTTACGAAAAAGGGTTTTATTATAAAAATTATTCTACATTCGAATGCTCCCCTTCCCTCACCACACACCTTTCCATACGTTTTTCCATTGATTAAAGCAGTGCTGGAAGTCTTCTTTGGTGAGGGCCTTTAGGAGATCTGCCGTTTTTTGCTTTACTGCTTCCATCGACTCAAATCGGATCCCTTTCAAAGCAGATTTTATCTTCGGAAACAAAAAAAAGTCGCACGGTGCCAAATCTGGAGAGTACTGCGCGTGTTCGAGCACTGGAGTGCGTTTATCGGTCAAATACTGCTTCACAGATGGTGCGTTATGGGCAGGTGCGTTGTCCTGGTGCAAAATCCACGAGTTGTTCTTCCACAACTCGGACCGTTTCTTACGATATCGTTCTCGCATTGTTGCCAAAACTAACAAATAGTAAGTCTAGTTGATAGTCCGACCCTCTGGAATCCTTTCAGACATCATGATACCATTAATGTCAAAAAAAAAACGATCAACATTGCCTTGAATTTTGATTTGGACATCCTTGCTTTTTTGATTCTAGACGATTCAGGCGTCTTCCAATGTATCGATTGATGTTTTTTTTCAACATCATATTGTAAAATCCAAGTTTCGTCACAAATAATAATGTTTTTCATCAGTCCAAGATTTTCTTCTAACCCCTTTCAAGGAAATATGAGCAGACCTGTTGACGCAAGAGCTTTTGGTTATGAGTCAGGTTTTTTGGCACCAACTTCGCACAGACTTTTGTCATGTGTAATTCCTCGTATAAAATTTTTCTAACCGTTTTTTTATCGGCGTTTACAGCCTTGGCAATCATCCGGATGCTCATTCGATGATCTACACGTACAATTTGGTTGATTTTGGTCACTGTTTCCGGAGTTGAAACAATGACAGAGTGACCTGGGCGCTGGTCATCTTCAGTGCTCTTTCGGCCCTCACTGAAGCACTTATACCACTCAAAAATACATGCACGAGATAGAGTACTGTCCCCATAGGCATCTTGCAACAATTTATAGCACTTAGTCGAAGTTTTTTTCAATTTAATGAGAAATTTGAGATTGATATGTTGCTCCTGTTTTTTGTCACACAAGGTTTTCAGTACGAGAAAAAAACACGTTCGTTTCAAACCACTACTGCAAAAATACTATAATAGTGATGAAAACGTATTTTGGTACGTGCATAGATAATATATCTAGATACCTAACGCACTACTCGTTTTTTTACCCACCCGTCTAGGGCGCCCTATATATGGGCAGTCTCGTTATTTAATAGCCAGACCTCGTAGATTTCTTAATCGGAATATATTATAATAATATTACTTTGGAAATCAAATTTTATTGGTTTTTTTTTTTTTGTATCAAAAATCAGGTTTTAGTGATTCATTGAAATAAAATTCGTAAATATATGTAAGTAACAGCATTGATTTTATAATATGCTATAATAATATATTATAAAATCAATAGTAACAGACTGCTCTTTCTCTCTCTCTTTCTCTTTCTATACACACACACACACACACATATATAAATATGTCTGTAAATATTCGAAAACACCTATATTGGCTATATATTATTATGACTTGGTAATCATCCGGGAGTTTCATAGCTGTATAAAAAATACACAGGTGACGCAATCACAGAACCGTATGTAAACTATAATATTTATACAATTTAGACACTGTATTGTAACTCAAACTGATTATTTTTAAGTTGAGGGTCACTATACTCGTATTTTATGTAGATGTGTAACTAAAACGTTCTACTTTTAGTAATTTTTCAAATCATCAACTCGTCGGTTCTCCCGTCTTTGCATATTAAAACAATTACATCCGTAATTTGTTTTCTTTGGAATATACCCCACGTGTTTATAATACACTACTATTATGATATAATTATTATAATACTTAAATATATATTATTATTTTAATTATTTTTAATTACTTACAATAAAATATATGTCCCATATTTTTGAAATTTTTTTTTAATAAAAATGTGCTATTTATTTTATCATGTAAACATTGAAGGATATACCATGCTTGACATTGATACTACTATTAAGTTACTATAAAACTGAGCATACAAACAAGATGGGAATTTCTTTTCGATTTATGTTTCAATAAATTTGACTCAGTTCACTCTAATGATTTGATTGAGCGAGTCAACTTTTAATTCAATAAGTTCTTATCAACTGTATGTTTCATCTTAGATAATAATGAATTATAAATTCAGTGAACTACATAGTTCAATTGGCTCATCTCACAAGTCATGAGCTGACAAAATTACAACATTAAGTCGGGAACTGATAAGAACTATAAATAATAACTATATATAATATATATAGTTATATATATATATATTATATATATATATATATGTGGATAATACTGAGTTATCGAGTCATTGAATCATGGCACTCTGATTCAACTCATTCAGTTCACCTAAAAGAGTTGACTTTTTGAATTAACTCATTCACGAACTACCCATCCTAACAAATGAATAACCAGGAGATCAATAAATGATGAAATTCGAGACATTTTCGAGTCAACTCTAATCGATACCTGTACTGCTGTAACATCTGCAGGGATACATTAAAAAATACACAAGCAATGATTTTTGATATTTCATTTAGTCATGTAAGACGACGAAAAGGACTTGAACTAGCAAGCTTAAAAAATATTTGATGCTATCGACAACGATATACGAGTATAAGCGCATGACGTCGTCTGGCGAGCCCCTCACGTACCTATAGTAACACGAAAACGACATTGGAATGCGGTCGGTAACCGAATGGCATACATACACATACACATATACGAGTATACATAAAAACACACACAAATGAGCAACCGTTATCGTAACAGCTCTGTTTGCCGTTTGCTAAGGAAAATATTATTCTCACGTGCAATACAACTTCAGTACTTTCGTTATTACAGCTTATAATAGTTCTTCGGATTTGGAGGGGATGATGATAGCTACTGTGCCGACTACGTTTTTGAGGAGGAATGAATCACTCGATATCAGTTATAAACGTTTTACCGTCAAACTTATACGAACACATTTTTTCTTTAAATTTTTCGTTCATATCTTGCAACATATTTGTTACTTTACAAATAAAGCGCATAATAATGTTATGTAATACATGGATGAAAGGATTGGACATGAAGACCGTCGTGCGCGTCGAGACCAGGGGCGGACTGGCAAAGTGGGTAGGTGGCCATAACTACCCAGGCCTTCCAAAAATTTGACATTTAGGCCTCAAGCTATATTTGCTCGTGTAGCACGAGTCGCTTGTTTGCTAGTTTGTAAAACTTATGCCCACCCGGGCCATCGGGGCCTCGGTCCATCCCTGACGTAGACGTCTCGTGGATTCTTTCGAGCGAAGTTCAGGAGGCGCCTTTGAATATAACGTATCGGAATATATTGGTTTACTCACGTCTCCCGTTCACTGGTGTAGAGTGTTCACGCAGGATTTCGTTCGGCTAGAAAATCGTTATTACCTAGTCCGCATATTAATTTTTTTTTTTTCAAAACCATAAGAAAATAGTACACGTTGCGAGCAATTTATACTCAATGAGCACACCGAGCCGACAGCATGTCACGTGTTTGTATATGGATTATAATAATAACGTAGTTGCGGTGACTTATAGACATAGGTTATACGTATAGGTAATATGTGCGTACTGTGGGAACACGACGGCGGAGAAGACTTTGTCGCAACCGCGGACCTTAGCAACCGGGTGGTGGTGGTGGTGGTGGGGGGGCTTCGGGGCATACAGTAATAAACACTACTGCGGTTTAGGTATTGTAACATGAACGCGTGCGGGTACGTACCACTAACCACTGGTACGGTACCCGCGACGGTATACAGTAACGACGACCTTATACGCATCGATACACGTATGTTATTCATATATTACTGCACGGTGCACATGCTTTCGTAGTAGGAGAACGTGTACACTATATAGTAGTACCAGTAGTAGTAGTAGTATCGGTCGTAGTGTATTCTTACACTTGGTACACATAAACATTTTTTTTATTTATTTTTTTTTTTTTTTACGTGCGTTCGGTGTTTGCGTGCGCGCGCGCGGCGTTTCTTTCACTCAATCGTCTTAGTGTTTTTATTATTGTTCGCCGTCGAAGGCCATTGTCGCTACTGCCGCCGCCTCCTCTGTCCGGTCGGCGAGCTCTCGTATTCCGGTTATGTACACGGTCGGCCACCACCGCCGCCGTCGCCGCCGCCGCCGTCACCGACGCGCATTCGTCCGGTCGCCATATCTCGTCGTCAGTACGTATCCCGCGCGCGCGCAGTACGATGGTTCGACGTGAATCCGATTGACCGACCGGTTCTAATTATTACTAATATTATTATTACATATTTTCCCTGTTTTTCTTCTCTCCTCCACTTAGTGCGCGTATCTTTTTTTTTTTTTTTTTCTGTACTTTTTCGTACACGACGAAAGTTGGTCGTTGATAATTGTTTTACAGTGCAACATCGGCGCAAAGGATCAAGTGCGTTATCTTCCCACGTTCACTGCTACAACGCCTTTCCTTGCTCAGGTCGGTTTTTGAACAACCTATACGTATATTGTTAGATGCACTATATGATATTTTTATTGTTGTTGTTATTGTTTTTATCGCATTAACTACATTCTACAAGAACTTGGCAGCAGTCCTTTTTTTCAACATTTTGTAGCGAACGCTACCAAACGCGAATCTCGTTTGGGTTTTTTAGGTTTTCGATCATATTTTATCAAATTGATCGCTTTTCAATCGATTTTCGTTCAGTATACTCGATACATATATCGTTCGTAACGATTCGTTTAATGATTTTCGTCGTTGACGTAATACGCGTAACGGGACGTGAAGATTTCATTTGGTCAACCGTTTGTCGTTGCCGCGCACGAGACGCGTAACAACGTAAGCGAATCACGACGATAGACTGTTTTGACGTCATAGTCGTCATCGCTGTTTTCGTTAACAATATATGTGATCGTTCGCGCGAGAACGCGTTAAAGTCTCCTGCAGACTCCGCGCATTCAGCGGAACGTCATGAGAATAGGCAGTACCCGTCACTTGTTTGGGTTCACCATCCACTGAATTGTTTTCACGACAACAATATAACGACTGATAAATGCTATCGTATTTAGAGATCGAATAACGGGCGGATCGTACACATATATAGTACTGTATAATATTACGGTTAATATTATGATTCAGAAGTTTAGTTTTTTACGGCTCGTCGGCTATTATATTATAATATAGTGGGCTATGCGAGTTTCGTAAGTCTGACCGTCATTCAAACTTTAATGTTACTTCATGTTAGCCTTATATCGGGTCATTGTTAGGAAAATTATTTCTCAACATTTAGCTTGATATAATAATCGACAATTATTCTTCAGAGGTGAATGTTACTAAATAAAAAAAATTAAAATATGCCGATATTGATCGATTTACATATGATTGATACCTATGTCTAGTTAATAAAAGAGGTGCGATATGATAAAATAGTTTTAACTTAAAATTGTTAATATGTAATAAGAGTTATGTTGTAATTTTTAAATTGAAACGTGTTTAAAAAGCGATTATATTATAACGTGCAGTTTTCAATAGTGGATGTTTAATAATAAAATTTATTGAATATTTTTCGAGATACTCATGTATACTCATATACGAGTATATATATATATATAGTTTTATCGTATTTTGTATAGCGGATGTATGATACTGTATTTGAACATGACTAATGACCAGATATTATTTCGTGTTGGTTTTGAGAAACTAGATAATATTATGGTGTGCTCAAGGTGTCTCTGTTTTTTTTTTTTTTTCAAAGAAAATAAATAAATTATACTTAAATACTCTGTGCGTTTTAAATTACCAAATATACTATGATTATGCACCAACGATTTAAATTATAATATTAAGTGTAATACTGACATAACGTCCGTGTATTTATTAATCTATATAATACTGAATTTGATCAAGGATGTTGGGCGTCCTTATAGATGAGTTCTGTATAAATTCTTAACAATTTATTATGTATTGAATCGTCGAATTATTTTTGACCTACTGATTTCCAATCCGAATTCTATATACCGGGATTGATAAAAGTACAATATTTTATGGGGAATACTCGTATTATATTACTTATATGTACATATACATTATAATACATACGTTATAATAAGTTATTACAGGAGTAAATCAGTAGTTACTTGAATTATTGTATCTAAACATTTTAAGAATATTGCAATTTGTCAACGTGTATTATGTAAAACATGCACGCGTTGAGTCTAATTCCATTAAATTAATTTTTTTTTGTAAATACAGTATTTCTTGTATTTATTTACACTCGTATTTCAATTACTTAGTATAAATAGAATAATTAATATAACTTAATATTTTTTTATGGTATTCACTTAATTCTCAAATATATAAAGTAATTACGCCATGAAGTTATAAATGCGACACATTTTGAACAAAAAAACCGAAGCTTTTAACCACACATGCGTATAGTTATTATTGTATTGTAATAAAATAATATATTGGATTTTGATTATCCGAAGAAAATATAATATTATGTAAGTTAATAAATGAGTATATTTCTCTCTTACTTGTGTTGATAGATACATATACCTAGTATGCATAATTGTTTTTTTTAACGTACACATGTATATTGCATTCAAATTGTTTTTCGTTATATTTAAACAATCAAAATGGTCGTTGAAAGTATTTTTCAATGAAATTATAACGTCAGTGCGTTAATGAATGCCTAATAATAATAATAATATGTATCACCAATATTAAAACTGTAATCAAAAATGCATTATTATTATTACTATTCGTAAAATATACGTTATATATGTTATGATGGCACTTAGTTGACTATTTTGATTGAATATTTTAATAGGTGGAAAAGATATTTTTATATCTGCGTGTATACCAAATTCTTCGTCTATAATTCAGTCGTGTAAAATATACAATATATTGAATAATACATCAGCATCATTATAGAATGTATGAAATTCTAATAAGATTTGTTGTGATCTATGGGATCACATAATGCTATCATAATAGGCACAGATGGTGCAAATATTTGTAAAATATTATTTTTTTTTAAATTGTAGTTAATTAAATACCTAAAATACCCAAGAGTAACCGTTAAAAAAATTATTTTAAATATATTAATGAACGGACGAAAAAAAAATAAACAGTTTAAATCTTGTAAAAAAGTACTCAAATACTAGAACAAATAATTATTTTTATTATTAATATTATCGTAATTACCTTGTAATAATTATTTACCGCAGAGGTCTTCAATTAATTTTTAATCGACGATAAGTTAACTAATTTTGTTGCTTGATATATAACTTTAGTATATACTCTAGTATAAAAGTAATTAATTATACTATAAATTAATATTTAAATCAGTACTTTAAATAATATTTAAGTATTTAAAGATATTGACTCTGATATTTCACATGACTTTGCCAATACGTATAAGAATAAAGTCGAATATAATTGATTGAATTAAACTAAATTAAATTGTTAACTTCTAACCATCGCATGCTTGCAATGCTATATAGTGTTATCCTGTTATACGTGTTATCCTTGCTACAAACTTTCTACTAGTATGTTCCACATATTGAATAGCCAATAGGCTATCGTGTTCAATACAAATATGAGCTTGAAAGTGTGTGTGTGTGTGTGTGTGTGTGTGTGTGTGTGTGTGTGTGTGTG